AGTGGGAAAGGGCTATTTGGGTTCCACCAACTTGGTAGTGGCACACCGTAATCCTGAATCAGTGCCCAGGAACGCAAGTTCAGATTGATTGCATCAACTGTAAAACATCCGTTTACACTTTTGCTTTTGGAGCCTTTTGCTTCTTGGTCTGAGAAGTACTTTACCACCCTATATAGTCTTGCTATAAATATCTTGTTTTCCACAGAGTGATGATGGTGGCAAAGAAATTTCTGGATGCTGGGAAAAAACTCAACTTTGCTGTAGCTAGCCGCAAAACCTTTAGTCATGAACTTTCTGATTTTGGCTTGGAAAGCAGTACTGGAGAGATTCCTGTTGTTGCTATCAGAACTGCAAAAGGAGAGAAGTTTGTCATGCAAGAGGAGTTCTCGTGAGTTAAAAGTTAATATCGATTTGGGATTTGATTCAGCAAGGAAACTATCAAAGCCTTTTATAGTAATGGTTTATAAAGAGAACATTGGAATGTGAAGATGGGTCTTCTAGTCAAGACTGTGATTATTTTTTTTCTCAGTTTAATTGTAGGTACTTTAAGGATTGTGATCCTTATAAATTCTGAAAATTTAGCAAAAGGATTGGAATTATTACATGATTGTTTCTATTATGCCATTACATTGTATGTAGATAGAGAACTTTGGACTCTCTCTTTGAAATGGATGTGATTTCAAACTAACCCAGCCCCATCCCATTCCAACATGTCTTCCTTCTTGGAATACCACATTGGCCTAAAGTAAAGTCTTCCTTCTTTCTCATCCACAGAGGACACACTTGAAATACAAGGAGATGTTGGTTTCTTGTTTAGTCAGTAGTTCTGCATATTGAGAGTTAAGAGCCCTATCCTTTTCTGGCTTTCAGTTTCTCTTTAGCCTTGAAATTGAAGCAAATATTGAGAAACTATTCTATGAAATTGTTTTTAATCTTCTCAATGGTGAGAATAAATTAACAAACCTAACTCTTGTTTTTCCAATTGCAGGCGTGATGGCAAGGCTCTTGAGAGATTCCTGCAGGATTACTTTGATGGCAATCTGAAGAGATATCTAAAGTCTGAGCCCATCCCAGAGAGTAATGATGGACCTGTCAAGGTGAGGCTTACAGCGTCACCAAGCCTCTAAGTAGCTGCCCCTACTTTCTCTTTTTCTCCACAGTTTTATTGGGGTTTAAATGACTTTTCTTTACTAGGAGAACACTGGGTCAAAATGAATACTATTGATTTCTGTGTTTTGTTTTTGTTTGTACTCACCTCCCTGGAGTCATAAATAAGCATTGGTAGAGCTCATAATAGTCAGTAGGAATTAGGGTAGGAGTATAAAACTTTCACAGAATTTTCTGATGACATTTGTAGGAGAACTAGGTTACTCTTCAGGACAACAAGATATCCTCTAAGAGTAGTTTTTAAATTGTTGCTCAGAGATAATTTTTTTTTTTTAAGATTTAATTTTATTTATGCGTAAAAGACCGGGGTGTAGGCCAGATGTGTGGGGGTGAGAGGATTCACCAGAGACAGAGTGGGGAGCAGAACAAGCAGATCTACTGAAATACCTGCTGAGGGGAGCAGCGGGAGACACAGGAGAGGTCTGCTGTGCCATTTGGGTTACCTCCCTGGCCAGGGATCAAACTGATGCTGGAGTAGCTGTGGATTGCTTCATAGTGCTGACGCTTAACCCCTTGCGCCACCAGGGAGGCCCCAGTTTCCTGTGACTTTCTAAACCTAGTTGACAGGTGATAGACATGGAATGAATTGGTTTCTAGGAGAATGGCATCATCTTTCATGCAATCCATAAACGTGATTTGGGTTTACATTGATATATTTTCAGTGTCAACACATTAAATTTTAGAGAGGTGAGCCAGAAATAAATACAGCTCATGAATTTATTTTTCAGCTTGCCTTACCAACTAGAGAATCTTGTTTTCCAGGTAGTTGTAGCCGAGAATTTTGATGAAATAGTGAATAATGAAAATAAAGATGTGCTAATTGAATTTTATGCACCTTGGTGTGGTCATTGTAAGAATCTGGAGCCTAAGTATAAAGAATTGGGAGAAAAGGTAAGTCAAAACCATATTGTGAAGATAAATGCCTTCACTAATTAGTTACCCTAATTATTATTAGTTTAGTATCTTAACTACTGGTAGAGTGTTTTTCAGCTATCTACTAACATTCTGCTGACATCCCCCCAAGTTGCCCAGGTCCTGTGCAGTGCCTATTTTAACTTTCCATTGATCAGATTCAATCTAGTATCCAGGAATTTTGGTGATGGCTTATATGATTCCATTATGTTCCTTCATCTTAAAACATTTGGCTCTGTCCTTAATAATCTCTTAATAGGCCAGGTAAATTTGAAGGTGGCTATATATAGGAACTGAGAGAGAGAGAAGAAAACAGAAGCCATGTGGAAGGTTAAATGCTATGTGCAAGAGTCACTATCCCTATCTGAGCAGCAACTTATCTAGATGTTTGAAGAATAAAATTGTTTTAAGTCCTAAATTGTTACATAAACCTCAGTCACTAAAAACTAAAAATGTTAAGATCTAACCTTTTTATTAACAGCTCAACAAAGATCCAAATATTATCATAGCCAAGATGGATGCCACAGCCAATGATGTGCCTTCTCCATATGAAGTCAGAGGGTAAGTAGATAAAAACTAATAAAATTGTCTGGGCAATGAATAGGAAAAAGTGGACTTATAAACCATTTCTTAATTGGATTTGGTTGGAAGGTGGGATCCAGCTGAACACAAAACCACTGATATCTTCCTTAGAATTCTGCAGCATGAGCCCACATGATTGTTATAGATTTTGTGAACTCTTACTCCTGAGTTGTGATAGGATATAACTTAGCCACTGTTGAAGAACAGTTGATATGATAAAATTTGGATATTATAAGAAAGGTTATTTCCTGGAACAGTTATTTTTTTTTTTTTACTGTTTTCTTTCCCTAGTTTTCCTACCATCTACTTCTCTCCAGCCAACAAGAAGCAAAATCCAAAGAAATATGAAGTAAGTGCATTATCTCATTGCCCCACAAGTAAATACACACACATACTTGTACATATCCAGTTCTGTGGGTTTATTTAACTAGAAGCTCTTTAAATGCTTATGGTCAATATATCTGTTGAAGGGAGGAAAAATACAGAGTTGATTAAAACATTCAAAACAATTCTGTTTTCAGGGTGGCCGTGAACTAAGTGATTTTATTAGCTATCTTCAGCGAGAGGCTACAAACCCTCCTGTAATCCAAGAAGAAAAGCCTAAGAAGAAGAAGAAGGCACAGGAGGATCTCTAAAGCAGCAGCCAAACATATCACTTTGTGAATGGACTGTACCACCATGATGGGAAAACCATTGGGGAGGACTGGGACCCATATGGGTTTATTACCTCTCAGCCCTGAAAGAACAGATTGGATATAATCTGAATCCTGTTAAATTTTCTCTAAACTGTTTCTTAGCTGCACTGTTTATGGAAAAACCAGGACCAGTTTATGTTTGTGGTTTTGGGAAAATAAATGTTTGTGTTGGGGGGGGAGTGTTATGGGGGTGGGGGAGTTGAGTTGGGGGGTTATTTTCTAATTTTTTTTGTACATTTGGAACGGTGACAATAAATGAGCCCCCTTTAAATTGTCTTTTTTTCCCACAATAAGGAGAACCAAAGGTTCTGTAGACTAGCCCCATCCAGTAGAACTCTCTACAATGATGGAAATGTTCTGTAATCCTCATTGTCCAATATGTGGCTATCGAATATTTGAAATGTAGCTAGTTAACTATATTTTAAATTTTCGTTAAATAGTCACTTGTAGGGCTAGTATTGTTCAGTATTACTGTAAATCAACTAACCAGGTACCTGTAAATCCTTTCTATATCTCATTTCTTTCTATCCTTGTATGTTTATGTCCAGGCCCCTAGCCTGATAATTAGAACAGGTGAGGGGCCTTTCATGTTGGGCTCTGTTTCTGGTCCTGCCCTTGCCCTGAGAATGGGTTGCTGTTTATCCTTGCCATGCAGCTGAGCTCCCAAAGGCTATTCTCTGCCCAGAAATGCCCTATGAGGGTGTGGCATCAGGTTTGGGGCTTCATCCAAGTTGTTTCAGGGATTGCTGACATTGCTAGGTGCAGCTCTCTCCCCCAAAGCCCAAGGTGTGGTCCATTAACTTCCCTCTCCAGTGGAACTGGGACAGGCAGTGTCATACCTGGTTGTGAGTGAAGCATCCACTTGTGCAACAATGAGGAATGAAAAGAACTGGTGCCTGTTTTTGTTCAAATGAACTGAACTATTTCCCTTTTTTGGTGGATAAATCCAAATCCTGACCACATTTACAGTTTTCGGTCAGAGCCCTAATTGGTAGGTGATTTTCTATCTCTATTTAGAAAAAGAAAACTATTTCTATATCTCTACTTGTCAGTTATAAAAGGAATTTGGTAGAGCTTTTGAAGAAGTAAAGAAGCTTAAACCATAATCTTGGAGATTCTGATTCATAAGACTTGAGCTAGGGTCTGGAGGTCTCATTTTTTAAGAGCCCCAGAAGTGGTTCAGGTATATGAACCACTGCCTAGGAAAATTTAAGTGAAGTATATAAACTTGTACAAAGGACACAGAAGCAATCAGCTTTAATTTTTTTAGCCATATTTACACATTTATGTGTACTTTAAGTACAAGGGTAACACTCAAGACTTTCCCCATTATATCCAAGTCCTTTAGCTCTGTTGCCAGAACTTATCCTTTAGGGAAGTTATCAAGCTAAATTCACTTAATCTAATGTCTTCAAGGTATATCTTGTCCTGGAAATGGTGGCATTTCTCAGGATTTGAAAATCACTTGGCTGAACTAAAGGTGGAGAATCCTAGACTCTGCTACTTTTCCTAGTCTCCTGGGCACTTCTGTGGAGTCTGAGCACTATACCCAATCCTACAAATTAATATATGACATCAATGAAAATCCTTAACCTAGAGCAGTTTTCCTACATGCCACCACAGACTCAGCAATAAGAACAAACAATTGCACTCTATAGCTGCTTGGTTCTTCATTATCTCAGTGGGCAAATTGTCAAAAGCCTCCTGACAGCTTCAACTGCCTCTGTTCTTTTCCTCAAACTCCAGGATGAGACCTTTAATGTGGGCCAATTTCTGATGCAGGTACTCACAGCGACGCTTTTCTTCCCTGTAACCCGGATACCGCTGCAGAGAAAAAGCATATTTTAAAAAAAAAAATACACCATTTCTATCTTCTTGGCTACCATTCCCAGACCTTGTCTTACCTTCCTGAACTTTTTATACTCCTGCACTATCTTTTCTTCAAGCACCTGAAACAAAGAAAATACTGGCACTAAGTTGATGTTGAGGGGAAAAAGCTCCAATTCTTTTAAGGGAAGGTAGTAATGTACCTTCTTAAGCCACAAAATGATACAGACTACTTTATCTCAAAAGAAGCTTGCTTTTTGTTAGTCATTGAACACAGACAGACATGGGCAGATAGCAGGGAGTTTATGGCCAGTAGAGCTGGGAAGCCAATCCTTACTTTGTGTTCTGGAGTTCCTCGTTGCACTCTCTTGATCTCAGCTCCAAGTTCTATGAACCTTTGGCTTGCAGCCCCAACACGAGCATGCAGGATGCGGTATTCAGCATAGTCTGTCTCAAAGTCCTGCTCATAAGCATGTTGCTGCTCTGCACTGTGGATGGCCCTATATTGCCTGCCAAGAGCAGAGAACTGTCAACCTTCAATTTCATTGCTCCTAAAAGCTCCCAGCCCTCATTTTATCAAATTTGTCATATCTCGTAAGCACAATGCTTGATAAAACTGGAAATGGCAGGGAACTCACAGAAGGTAATCTGGAACCTCTTCAGGACTTGAGGATTCAGAGTCTAGAAAGGAAGAAAGAAGGCATAAAGGTGATTATAGGCCTTCTCTTAAGCCAATGCCTCACCCCCTTCTACCCTTTATCCATAGCAGTTTTACTGTCCTTTAACTCACCTGCTTGTACTGAAGGACTATGCCCCAGTCTGGGACCCATGTCTTCATCTTTATCTTCTTGTTCCCAATCTTCTTCTTGTGGATCTTGACCGGGTAGCCCTTGTAGGGGACTTGGAGCTGGAGACAGAGTTCTGGGCCTCTTTTCTTTCAGTTCTGTAGTGGCTCCAGACGCTGAACGTTTCTGTTGGGGAAAATATCGTAGAATAAAACCAGAAATTCCTATTCTGTCCTTGAAAATTCCTTCCATATGATGAGCTCTGGAAACCTCAAAATGAGATGTCCCAATTTTTAAGATTTAACCTGAATGAAAACTTGCTGTTTAAACTTACCTTGTCCAGATGTTTCTGGCTAACAGAGGAAGGAAGTATCTGATCCTGCTCTCTGTTTGGAAGATGAGTATGGTTCCTAAGATATTTGAAGAGGGAATGGGAGAGATGAAAGACCAACGCAAGGGGCAAAACTAGATCTCTTATTACAGGGTTTAGGAAGGAGATTAGAGAGGAAAACAATACCAAAGCTTCCCAGGTTAGTGCCACCCCGCCTCAAGTACCTCACTTCCCATTGTGTTATGTGTTCCCTTGAGGATCCTGGGAGTGACCGTCCTTGGCTGGTTGCCAGTGGGTCTGGCACCTGATACAGAAAGTGACAGGGGCACTTGGCTTCTGGGGATCCAACTTTGCCCCACTTTTACCCAACTCCCTGCAGTTCCTGACCTCACCTCTTCTAGTACCATCTGTGGCTGTGAAACTGCCGATTCTTCAGAATAGTCTTCCACATTCTGCCAACTCTCAGGATTTCTTGCATCTCCAGTCAGGTTGTATCTCTGAACTGAAGATGGGGCTGGGATAGAATCCATGGCTGCCCAAATAGTGAGGCGCTCCCTGAGTGGGCCCAGGCAGTGGAGGCGATTAGGTCCAGATCTGGAAAGGGGTGGTGAAAAAAAAAGTGGAGGGTAGAGAACTTTTAAGCACCTCTGAACATCCACTCCCATACTTTCCACACCCCCTTATCTGTTCTCTATTCCCCCTTACCTGCCTAAGCGCTGGCACACAAGGTCCAAGCCACCACCACCACTACTAAGCTCCTGGCCACACTGGGACACTATGAAGGAGAAGACGCAAGACCATCGGGGACCTGGGAGCCTCAGGTACTGGAGATGAAAGGAGACGTAAGGCCATGAAGTCATCCCCTCCCCCTCTTACCAATGCCATTCTTCCCCGAACCAGCTAAGACTGAAGATGGGTCCCAAGAGGCTCGTTAGCACACCAGGTGCAGCTGGGCCCGAGTGCCCCAGGAGACTAAGGCGACATAGTCTCGCCTCAAACGCAGCCTCTTGGGACCACACCCCCAGCAGCCCGCTCGCCCCAAGCAGGAACTTCTTCAGACCGTGACTGCTCAGGGCCTCCAGAACTGATCGTACCTTCCCAGAGCCCACTCGTCTGCGCGCCGCCTCCGCGGCCCCCCGCCCCCCGCCCCCACATTCCCGGTGACCACACATACCCCTCGGTTGCCTTGGAAAGAGATCACCGGCCGAACCTGCGGGGAAAGCACACAAGCTGCTAAGCAAGCGCAGGTGAAGCGGCCCCTCCAGGGTCCCGAGGAGGACCTGCCTCGCGGGGTTCACTTGCAAAAATGGGGAGACCGGAGTCTGCGGATACAGCTCCCCATCCCCAGGTCCCTTTGCCAAGGTCGCCGCCTAAGGCTGGAGGTCGCAAGGTGTAGGGGTTCGTTAGGGAGATGGCGCCCGGGTCCAGCCTCACCTGTTGCCGCTGACACTCCTGCAGCGCCCGCAGCGCCGCCTCGTTGAGTCTGAGAAGCAGGAGGCTGGTCCGGGCAGCCGGTGTGAAGCAGAGCCGGAGTTTCCCGCTCAGAAAGTCCTGGGATCCCTCCATGGCCGCGAGGTCGAGCGCGAGCAGGACGGCAGGCGAGGGCCAGCACCACCACCTCCGCCGTGCAGGGCTCGGCGGGCGCACTGGTTAGCCTAGGTGTGTCCCGCCCTTTCCAGGCCCCGCCCCCGCCCCACCCCCGGCCCGCGCCGCCCGGCAGGTTTCCCGGCCGCGGGGGCGGGGCTTTGCTCCCTGCGCCCCAGCAGTTCTTCTTGGATTGGGGTGCGCCGCGTGGGATTTCGTACGGGGCTATCCCAGGAACCGGGAGAAAGTCTGCGGCCAGCTTCAGAGCGCTCACGCAGACTCTCCAGTCCTGCCTTAGTTTCCCCAGCCAACCTGAAATCTGAGTTGCCGTCTGAAAGTGAAGCTGAACCTGCAGTCTCTAGAGAGTTTCAGAGGGGCCAGAGAGGGTCTGGTTGCTGGGCAGGCTCCACTGACTGAGCCTGGTAGGCCACAACAAGCCTTCAGGGACCAAATGATGGCGAACCCCAAGGGGGCTTCCTGGCGCCGCAACCAGGTGCAGTGCTTTTGCTTTCTCCCGCCGGTGATGCTGCCGCGGACGCGAAACCGGTTCCTGTGACTGGAAAGAATCACGCCCCGTCAGTGTCTAGGCAGCGGATGAAGCTTGGCTGTCGCGGGTTGGAGCGCCCCCCACCGGTAAGCGGGGATGGGTTATGGGGAGGCAGTCAGTTTGGAGGGAGAGCAGAGGGTGGATGTGACTTTGTTGTAAGGGAGACCTACTCCCTGAGGCCGGCCAGAAGGTATTCCGGAGGGCCAGTGCAGTGAGATCGTAGGACCAATCACACCAGACCGGCCCTTGGTTCCTCCACTTGTCCCTATTTAGTTGTTTCCCAAGAACCCTAATGTTCTATGTCCTAGCCAGGACCCATCTGCTAAATCCCCGAATTTACATAATCCCGGGTGCCCTCTACCCCAAATCAAAGTACTTATACATTCGTCAAAACTCATCAGATGTGTGTGTGTGTGTGTGTGTGTGTGTGTGTGTGTATAAATTGTAGGTCAGTAAAGTTGATTTTAAAACAAACCTGCAACTTCAACAACACAAAGATTTACCTGTCCATTTCAGGACTCTCTGCTTCTCTGGGTGACAGTTGGGTGATCTGATAAGCAGTTGTGGATAAAGCTGGTCTCCCGGGCTTCCTTTTCTTCTCAGATGACATCTGTGACCTTTTGTTGCACTTTCCTGGATTTAAACTCAAAGGAGAGACTAGAGTGGTGAAAATTTCCAGAGATGGGAAGAAGTGCTGTAAAAGTAGATGACTGGGAAAGATATTTAAGGAAGGGAGAAGAGAGGCAGGCATCTAACAAATGGGAATCTTTGCATGTTATTTAATCCCTACAATAACTTCATAGTAGGTGTTTTTTTTATCTACATCATTCAGTGATTTGACAAATATTTTTGAGCTCTTACTGTATACTAGATGCTGTACTTGAACCTTCAGGTACATCAATGAACTTCTGGCTTTGGAGAAGCCTACATTTTAGAGCTGAGAGAGACACTATAAACACATCTCAGAAATAAACCTAAGAATGAGCATTAGAGGGACCTCCCTGATGGCTCAGGGGTTAAAGACATAGCACTATCAAGCTTTCTCAGCTACTGCAGCATGAGTTCGATCCCGGCCAGGGTCCCCGACCAGGGAGGTAATACATATGGCGCAGCAGACCTCTCCTATCTCACCTGCTGCTCCTCTCAGCAATGTATTTCAGTAGATCTGCCTGCTCTGCTCCCCAACTCTATCTCTGGTGAATCCTCTCACCTCTCTTGCCCCCTCACCTCTGGCCTACACCCCAGTTCTTGTATACATAGATAAATCTTTTTAAAAAAGAATAAACATTAGAAGGTGATAAGTGGTAAAGGAAGAAGAAAAATAGAGCAAGTTAAGAGTGTTTGAAAGTGTACCCTTTCTTTTAAAAAAAGATTTATTTATTTATGTGTACAAGAACCGGGGTACAGGCCAGAGGTGGAGGAGGGTGAGAGGATTCACCAGAGACAGAGTGGGGAACAGAACAGGCAGACTGACTGAAATACACTGCTGAGGGGAGCAGTGGGAGAGTCAGGGGAGGTCTGCTGTGCCGGAGATTGAACTCGTGCTGAGTGGCTGCCCATAGCTTCGTAGGTTGCGTCTTAACCCCTTGCGCCACCAGGGAGGCCCCGAAAGTGTACCCTTTATGGAAAGGGTTGATTGTATATTACATAAGATGGTCGGAAAATGCCTTCTGCAGATGAAATTTGAGCAATGCCCTAAAGGATGTGAGTGCACTGGCCAAGGTGTACTGTTGGAAGAAATGCTTTCCAGGCAGAGGGACTAGCCAGTGCAAACTCAGTAAGTCAGAGTGTGTCTGGAGTGAGGAAAAGTGGAAGCCAGTGTAACTGGAACACAGCGAGGGAGAGGAGAGTGAGAAGAAACAGAGTCGGGAAAGTAAGGAGCCGGGGTGAATTAGGTCATGAAGGACAGTGTGGGCCATTGTAAGGATTTTGGCTTTTACTTTGAGTTAAATGGGGAGTCACAGCTGGGTTTTGTGCAGAGTAACATGAAGTCCCTTCTATTTTTAAAGGATCACTCTAGCGTTGCAGTGTCAAAAAATGACTGTAGGGGGACAAAGATAAAAGCAGTATGACCTAGCAGGAGATTACTGTAGTAATCCAAGCCAGAAATGGTGGTGGCTTCCACCAGGGCATAGTAGAAATGGAAGAAAGGATAGGGTTCTTGATCTGTTGACAGGGCTGCTACAATTTCCTAATGGAAATCAGGAATGTGGTATGCAAGAGAGAAATCAATAGATGATTCTAGGGTTTTTGCCAAACTGACAGGATGAAATTGTCATTAGTTGAGTTGGGAACACTACAGGTGAAACAGGGTTAGTTATGAACAGGTTGAGTTTTCTATTAGAATCCACTTAGGGATGTGGAGTAGGCAGTTATGTACACATTTGGCGATTAGATTATAAAAGGAAAAAATTACATTCAGATAGTTAACAACATGTTAAAATGTTTGTGGTTTAGCAACTGCACTTTTTTTTTTTTTTTTTTTTAAAGATTTTATTTATTTATTTATACAAGCACTGGGTACAGTCAGAAGCGCGGGAGGGTGAGAGAATTCACCAGAGCCAGAGCGGGGAGCAGAGCAGGCAGAAGGACCGAAGTACACTGCTGAGGGGAGCAGCGGGCGGCAGGAGAGGTCTGCGCGCCATGTGGGACCCTCCTCTGGTGGCCGGGGAGCAGCCGGGGATCGAACCGGTGCTGCAGAGGCTGCGGGCAGGTTCGTAACCCAGCGCTCAACCGCTGCGCCACCGGGGAGGCCCTAGCAACTGCACTTTTATCAATGCAATAAATAAAAAGATTTAGAGACAAGTTTATTTATTTTTAATGATTTATTTATTTATGTATACAAGAGCTGTAGTACAGGCCAGAGGTGGGGGGGGGGAGAGGATTCTCCAGAGGCAGAGTGGGGAACAGAACAGGCAGACTGACCGAAGTACACTGCTGAGGGGAGCAGCAGGTGAGACAGGAGAGGTCTGATGCACCATGTGGGTAGCTCCCTGGCCGGGGATTGAACTAGTGCTGCAGTGGCTGCAGATAGCTTCATAGGTTGTGTCTTAACCCCTTGCACCACCAGGGAGGCCCTAGAGACAAGTTTAATAATGATTGTAATTATAAAGTGATGATGAGTACAAAATTATATTTTGGTACCTAAATTGTCATGTGTAATAAAAACACTCAATTTTTCTGTTGGTAAGAACACAGGTATTAACAGTATTTGTGGTTTACCATCTATATTCATAATTGAAGAAAAAGCTAAATTTCTGTTAGCAGTTAATAAAGATGTACATTTTTTCCCTTCCAAGTTCACAGATTCCTTGAACTTTATGGTCTGCAGATACAGGTTTAGAACCTCCTTGTGACCTTAAGCAAGCAATTAAACTTCTCTAAGATTCAGTTTTCCCACAAATTCTTAGTGTTGGACACATTCTTTTTTTTTTAAAAAAGATTTATTTATTTATGCATACCAGAGCTGGGATGCAGGCAAGAGGTGGGGGAGGGGGAGGATTCACCAGAGACAGAGTGGGGAGCAGAACAGGCAGATCCACTGAGATACACTGCTGAGGGGAGCAGTGGGTGAGACAGAAGAGGTCTGCTGCGCCATGTGGGTCACCTCCCTGACTGGGAATCGAACTCTTGCTGCAGTGGCTGTGGATTGATTCATAGTGCTGAGACTTAGCCCCTTATGACACCTGGGAGGCCCCTGGACAAATTCTTAACTTATTCACTCACATTTCTCAGCAATTATTTCATACCATTTTCACATCTCATCTTCCTTATTACCACATGCTTTGGACCTGGGGATATTGTCCATGATATTTAGATATTTGGACATGGGGATATTTCTTTCCTTCTTACCAGAGTTAGTGGGGCCTGTGACTCTGGAGTGTCACTCTCACTCAAGTGTTCACTTTGTTGGGAGTCACATCGCCCCTCAAGGATGATGCTGCTATAATAAGGGCATATTTTTATTTTTTAAAATTTATTTATTTATGCATACAAGAGCTGGGATACAGGCCAGAGGTGCAGGGGCAGGGGGTGGTTTGAGAGGATTCACCAGAGACAGAGTGGGGAGCAGAACAGGCAGACTGACTGAAACACACTGCTGAGGGGAGCAGCAGGCGAGACAGGAGAGATCTGCCACACCATGTGGGTAGCTCCCTAGCTGGGGATCGAACTTGTGCTGCAGAAGCTGCAGATAGCTTCATAGTGCTGTGCTTAACCCCTTGCACCACCAGGGAGGCCCAATAAGGGAATATTTTAATAGATGACTCCAGCACAATAATTTAAAACACTTGAGAAAAGGGCCTCCCCGGTGGCGCAGCGGTTGAGTGCTGGGTTGCGAAGCTGCCCGCAGCCTCTGCAGTGCCGGTTCGATCCCCGGCTGCTCCCCGGCCACCGGAGGAGGGTCCCACATGGGCGCAGACCTCTCCTGCCGCCC